AGCTGAAGAGGCTGGCCTTGAAGAAATGGAAGATGAAGATGTGGACATTGGCTGCTCCACACCCGTAATCAGTGATGAATTCTGGGAAAGTCAGCATCCAAACTCACCAATGTTCACCCCTCTACAGCAAATTCCTCAGTCCCCCACACAAACTGTACATATGGGCTCTGAAGAAACTCATCCCAATGCATCTGTCCATGAGGAAATTCCAGCCACTAGCGCTGAAGAAATTGCTGCTGCTGAACAACCAATGATGCAGACTGCCACTGAGGAGAAACCAGAAATTCCTCAACCTGAAGAACCTACGATTGAGATTCCTAAGGTCGTGATGCAACTCACTGACACTCCTCTGCCGAAGCCAAAGGATCCATTCTCACGCAAGCAAAAGTTCAAGGCTGATGATTTCTTCGGTGAGCACGTATTCTTCAAAGATTACAACCCATATGACTCTGCTCGCATTAGGAAGAGGCGTTTCTGGACTGCTAGTCAAGCCAATTTCTATTCCTCAGTGCTGTTCAAAAAGGAGAAGATCTTCTACCATGAGCATATTCCTCACGTGGATATGGAATCTCTGCCGTGTTTCGCACCAATCCTCAGTGTTCTTCACGATGCTGGACTGCTAAACTTTTGCTCTGTCATCTACGATTGGAATGAAAAACTGATTCTTCAATTCTATGCAACGCTGCACATCACCGGAGATGCTGAAGATGTGAATTTATGGGTGCTGGAGTGGATGTCTGAAAACACTCACTACACTGCACCAACCTCTGAATGGCTTCGTGCTCTACCACTCAGTCCTCCCCTTGAAGAAGCTCGCTGCATCTACAGTGAACCTGAGCTCATACATCATTACATGCAGGTGCTGATGAAACCTTTGAAGCCAGGTCAGGCACCAAGAACCAAATTCCTCGTGAAGGAATTGTTGTACGTGCCCAGAACTGTCTATCGTATTCTTACGAGGACAATCAGTCCCACCAAGGCCATGACTCATCTGATGAGGAAATTGTTGGCATCATGAAGAATCTGGTATTCAACATCGTTCATGACATTCCTGTCAATTATCATGATTTCTTCATGAGGACTATGGCCAATGTTGCACTGTCTCTATTTGAGCTGAAGCCTTATGCACCTTGGATTATGAGATTCCTCAGGACAAGATCTTCACTCAACTACAAAGCTGATTTCCAGAATCACCTCGGCTATTTGCCCCCAATTGAAGTCCTCAAGCAGACATATTCCTCAGTTGATGGAAAGGGCAAGGCACCAGCTGTAAATAGATGAAGGCATTCGTCCATTGGATGGTTAGTTTTGCAAAGCTGCATCTTATTTCACCAATGATGACTCTGCCACACATGACTCTGCCAATGCACCAAAGTCCACTCCTCAAGCCACTGCTCCGCGCGTGATGACTGACCGTGAACTTCTGCTTAGTCTTCACCAGAAGGTGGATCGAAATCACAAATGGGTTAAGCGTCAGTTTGGTTCACTTCTTCACAACATGACTGCCACACACAATGCAGTGAAGAAAAACCACTGCTACCTCCATCAAGTCTTCGGTCGCACTTGGGCAATCCTGTCACATCTGTATGGTGAAGAACATCTGAAGCACATGGGTCTCAAAGAAGATTTTGACTGGTCTGCACCTCCACCGAAGAAATTCAAGAAGGTCAAGGTTCCTTCTCTGGTGGCCAGCTCATATTCTTCATCGCGCGACACTGATGAACATGAAGATTTGGACGACACTGCGGCAGGCCCTACATCAACCAACGACCCCAACAACGCTGGCGCTCCTTCATCAACATGATTATCTTTAGGGGCGTTAGTCCTCATTTTTGATCCCTTTGGTCATTCGATGACAAAGGGGGAGAAATATGAGTTAGTCTTCAAGCGGGTCTACTAGTGTATGAATTACAAGATATAGGGGGAGATCTCCATGATTCAACTCTTCAAGTGTGCATTGCTTCAAAAGCAAATTCCTTACTATGCACATCTTCAGGGGGAGTTCTTCTATATCTTGCAATCAAATTCCTCAATATCAGTAGTTACACTTCATATGTTTATCTCCGTTGAAAACTTAACATATATTGTCATGAATCGCCAAAAAGGAGGGAGATTGTAAGTGCATCTAGTGCCCCTTAGTAATTTTGGTGTATTGAATACTTATAGGTTAAGGGACTAATGCGTTTGTGAGTGTACACGGGTCTATAAGTCTATGAGGAGTTTGATATTTACAGGAAAAGTCGACCCCTAAAAATGAATATCTTCAACTGAAGATTTTGGTATTTCTGAAGACTTTCACGAAGACTTTGAAAGTGAAGAAATTGGTGTGTCCGTGAAGACTTGGCATTCACTCGAGGAATATGAAGCTTAAAGACTTTCGTTTTCATAGTTTTGTTTTTTCTCTTTCTTGAGTCATAGGAAACACCATACTGTTAAAGGGGGTCGAGGAAATACTAAGGAAAAATTTTCATGTGATGCTCAACTCAAAATCCTATACCTACCAATCCCTTCGAGTGAAGCCATTGGAAATCTCATACAGTTCAGTCAATTTATTCAGTGACAGAGACGAAGTTCTTCTGGTCTCTGAGTAATTTGTCCTGACTGAGGAGTTAGGAATTCGCCAGTGCGGATTGCCTACACAGTGAGGAACATGATAGGCCTGAGGATTTTGCTACTCAAAATTCCGACCGTTGTTGTGCTATGCGTCAGCTATCCCAAAATATCTATCCACCTAACGGTCATATCATTGAAGGGCATTTATGCCTTATCATGTCGGGCTGCTCCCTAGACTATAAATAGCCGACCCCTACAACCACTAGCTGGTTGGCTGCTCCGAGAGAAACTGACACTTGTCATTTGAGAGCAGCCCATCCTCTGAGGACTTTGAGTGAAAATCATCAAGTGAGGAAAAACCCAAAACCTAAACACCTACAAACCCCAAGTGATTGAGCATCACTGAAGAGATTGATCCTGCGTGGATCCGACGCTTGTTACCTTTAAAGACTGTGCTTCTTCCAGACGGTTAGACGTCATGGTCTAGAGCATCCAAGAGGAATTGTGGATCACCGAGTGACCGAGTTTGTAGAGGTTTGGAAGTCGCCTGAAGACTTACCACGAGTGATTGGACGAGGTCTGTGTGACCTTAGTTTAAGGAGAATACGGTGAGGACTGGGTGTCTTGGACTAAGTGTTCTTGACTGGGTGTCCGGGACTGTGTATCCTCGAGTTTAAATACTCAGCCGCTCCAACCAGACGTACAACTGAGACAGCAGTTGGAACTGGTCTACCAAATCATTGTCTTCACCAAGCTTACTGTTTCTATTCCCTCAAGTCTTTCATTTTCTCATAATTGTGTTGTGTGTTTGTTCATATCTGTGTTTGAAGAATTTGACTGAAGACTTTCTCAATTTCCTCAGTTCAATTTCTTCAGTCTGTTTGTCTTCATCCTGTGTTATCCTGTGCTTACGCTTCCTGTACTCTGTGCCTGTCTTCATTTCATCATGATGACTATGCTTGTATTCTGTTATGTTAATTTTGAGTACTTATTCTGCTGCTAGTAGTTCTTTGCCAAGGAATTTCCTCACCGGCAAATTCCTCAGTGAAGAATTTCTTAAAAATCGCTTATTCACCCCTCCTCTAGTCGATATAACGCACTTTCAATTGATATCAAAGCAAGGTACTCCCTCATTCTGTGTGATTTTGGTTTAACCGCCTGGAAACATTTTTGTGGCGTTTTTCAAATTGCCTTCAAAAACATTTTTGTGGCATCTGAAGATCGCGTCCAAAACCATTTTATGGCGTCTCGGTAACTGCCTCCGAAATGTTATCGAGGCACATCTGAAGAACGCCACAAAGTTTGTAGAGGCATAAAATAATCACAACTCTAGTTGACAAATACAGAACCTTTATGAAAAAGATCTGTCGACGCTTTTGGTCCCATCATAAATGGACGTTTATAGTTTGGGCCGGATGGGGCGACCACACAAGCTTGTTGTACTGCAAAATGAATGTGGGCATGTAGAACTAACCAACGTTACTGCACCATCGAGCGACTAGATATGACGAACATGGCATAGTATTGACAGTGCCAAAATACCCAGTATTGACAATGAACACGCTCAAATTTCAACAGGACAAGCTGGCACACTTTGGAAGGCTCCCGAAGGAGCGCTCTTCAATTAGTTGCTCTCCTATTTATTGGGTAGATCCCTGAGTACTGACGTATCATATACCCTCTTGCGCGCCCGACCTCTATATGGGTGAATCGTTTTTTCCTTTTTCTTTCTTCTTTCTTAGTTTTTTCTTCTTGTATTTTCTTTATTTTATTTTTGGTCTTTCATTTCCTTTTGCATTTTATCTTATTTTCTTTTAAAAATAATTCGTGAACATTTATTAAAATGTAACAACATTTCTTTAATTTGTCAATATTTCTTTAACCCGTGATTTTTTATTCCTGAACAATTATTTGCAATTCGTGAACAATTTTTGAATTCACAAATATATTTTCCAAATCGTGATTGTTTTTGCAAAAATCATGAATATTTTCTAATTCTTGTTTTGATGAACATTTATTGAATCCTCGGACCTTTATTGAATTCGTGAACATTTTGTGAATTTGCGACGTTTTTGAAATTCACAAAGAAAAAAGAATCGCGGACATTTTTTTGTAATCACTGACATTTTTTGAATCCAGAAACTTTTAAAATTTCGAGAACTTTCTTGAATCCGTAAAGATTTTCCAAACTCATAAATATTTTTTGAATTCATGAACAATTTTTGGAATTTGATTTTTGTTTGAAACCCAAACATGGGTTGGCTCAAAGCGCTCGCGGGTGGCATGAGGGGTGCGCGATAGTAGGCTATCTTTCGACCCCCGCGCGAACTAGAAGTCCCTAGATTACACGATAAGCAAGATGATAATGAAGAAGAAAAACGAAAGGTTACAAAAACTACAGATGATCGGATTTTGAATTCTGAATCCTCAGATAGCAGGCCAGCCATCTACTGGCGGCCCGTACGCTCCTCCTCGTCCTCCTGGCCCTGTGTACGCAGCGCGAAGCGGCAGAGCGGGCATAGGTGGCTGACGCCGAGCCACACGGAGATGCACTCCTCGTGGAACGCGTGGGAGCAGTGCAGCCTCCTCAGTATGTCCTCCTCCTCGAAGGCCTCCATGCACACGGAGCAGCCCTTCTCCCTCGCCTCGCCGGCCGTGGTCCTGGGCAGGCCAGCGATGGCCTTCTCCGACGCCGGGACGGCGCCGAAGCCGCCGTTCCTGTACGGCGGCGCCGCTCCAGGGACGACGACCGGCGGATCGGGATCGTACGTCCGCCAACTGAACGGCACCCGCCGGGCCGGCCTCCGCCGCCGCGGCGGCCACTCGAAAGGATTGGGTGCTGGCGCACCCACGGCCACGGGCTCCGGCCGCCTCGGGTCGTAAAATGAGTGCGGCGTCCAAAACACCGCCGTGCCGGTGGCGCGCTCCACGTCCATTGGTGCCGGCCGGACTTAGTTCGATGCTGCTCAGGCGACCAGCGCAATCGCGAGATGGAGATTTATTTCTGATGATGAACGCTGGGGCGAGGTGGATACTTGTAGATTCACGCGAACGCTGAGGCGATATCCTTTCCGACTCGGGGCGAGGTTTGCCTGCTCCCCGAAAATGCTCCCATCCGTGCTTCGTGGTAGGTGGCGCTCATCCAACGATGGCACGCTGATGCCCTCTTTTTCTATTAAAAATCTCAGCAATTAAACAAAATCGGTCGGCCATGTCTTTTAATGACCGTGTCTCTTAATTAAACGCAGGAAAAGACCAGCCGCTCGTTTCGTCTCCTCTCTTATCCACTCACTTTCCCCACAGGCAAAGAAGTAGCTCCTCCATGGCCGGCGAACACCGCGATGTTGATCTGCTTGCTTGTCAGAGCAGGAGGGTTTGCTCCGTGCTCGTCCTAACGCGGCGCTCGTGAGCGAACTGCGCACCAACCCTGCGGCCACGACGTCCCTCGCCCCGCGCGGCGCTCGTAAGCAAGCTGCGCGCCGTTCCTGAGGCCGCACCCTCCGTCGCCCGGCGCGGCGCTCGTCGGCGAGCTGCGCGCCGTTCGTGAGGCCGCAGCCTCCGTCGCCCGGCGCTTCGCTCGTTGTCGATCTGCGCGCCATTCCTGAGGTCGCAGCCTCCTGTCACCGGGTGCGGCGCTCGTCGGCGAGCTGCGCGCCGTTCCTTCTCGGCGGTTATCTTCGTGGCCCTGTTTGTCCCGTTTGTCGCGCCTCAGCTACTGAGCTTCGTCCAGCACGTATCATAACATGGCTGCGAAGACTTGCCGTGGTTGAAGGTACGTCGTCCAATTACTCAAGTATATGACCGCTGTTCTTCTAATTTCTGAACCAAATGCTATTTTTGTCCGTGTGAGGTCGGTGAGATGCAAGCAACTATGCTTTTGGACAAGAACTGTGCTTTTGGTCTGACTTGATTAAGCTACGCATGTCAATGAACTAATATACATACGCCTTCTTAAATCTATGCTTTTGGACAGCAAGTATGCATTGGTCTCACTTAATTAAGTAGTGCATTCGATCGATATGCACAGACTCCCCATAAATCCAATAATATATTACAAGTTTATAGTGAAGTAGAAAAAAAAAACATGAGTCTCTGATAACGATGACAGATTAAGTTGGCTTTTGTTGTTGGAAGAAGACTTGATTTTGACCTGTCATTGTACCAACGGATGGCTACAGTGGGGCATTTGATGCTGGGTGTCTTATCATCATACTAAGGGCCAGTTCTTTTCGGCGATTCTCCCAGAATCGCCCCCCTCTGCAGCTTCTCCTAGAATCGCCACCCCATACTTTTTTTACAATCCTATCTAGTTAAGGTCTAATTAGCTAGGATTGTAAAAAAACATATGGAATGGTGATTCTACGAGAAGCTGGGGAGGGGGGCGATTCTAGTAGAATCGCCCAAAAGAACTGACCCTAATGGGGTGCTGTAGTGAGGCATTCGGAGTTAGGTGTCCTGTCATCGTACCAACGGATGGCTGCAGTGATGCATTTGGAGCTTGGTTCATCGTACCAATGGACGACTGCAGCGAGGCATTCAGAGTTGGGTGTCCTCTCATTGTACCAACAGTTGGTTGCAACGAGACATTTGGAGCTGGGTGTCTTCTCATCGTAACAAGAGACGACAATAGTGAGGCATCCAGAGCTGAGTTGCATTGTTCTGAATAGGTATACACGTGATTTGTCGGAACTCCCAAATTACCCTGTGAGTAGTAGTACCAAAGGTTAGTGTCCATAAATCTTTAAAATGATAAAACTGAAATCTGAGTGTAGGTAGCTTATACCATTAAGCTATTGTAATGTTGCAATTCAGCTGGCAATCTTTGGTCTTGTCCATACATCGCCATAGGATTTAGGATTGGGTTGTACTGTGGTAGATATGCAGGCATTTGATTCGTAAAAACCTCCGAATGACCCTATAAAACATGGTGTGATAAATCTTGTATAACTTAAGTTTTTATGTCAGATCAAGTGTGAATTTATTTATACCATTGAGCTGCCATGAGGTTGTAGTGCTAGGATTATCTACTTTCCTTTTCCTCTTTGATTTTGCTTTCTCTAAGCCACCAATAGGTCTACTTGCTCCTTGAATAGTCTTCTCCTTCAACTTGATACCTTTTGGCTTAGCAAGCCCCTTATTTTGTTTTGAACTTGTACATGAGTTAATGTTTCGTTCTGCAAATATATATTTAAATAAAATTCAAGTTTGACCGTGTCTGATCAACTTGTATAACTTAGGATTGGCGAGGTTTGCCTGCTCCCCGAAAATGCTCCCATCCGTGCTTCGTGGTAGGTGGCGCTCATCCAACGATGGCACGCTGATGCCCTCTTTTTCTATTAAAAATCTCAGCAATTAAACAAAATCGGTCGGCCATGTCTTTTAATGACCGTGTCTCTTAATTAAACGCAGGAAAAGACCAGCCGCTCGTTTCGTCTCCTCTCTTATCCACTCACTTTCCCCACAGGCAAAGAAGTAGCTCCTCCATGGCCGGCGAACACCGCGATGTTGATCTGCTTGCTTGTCAGAGCAGGAGGGTTTGCTCCGTGCTCGTCCTAACGCGGCGCTCGTGAGCGAACTGCGCACCAACCCTGCGGCCACGACGTCCCTCGCCCCGCGCGGCGCTCGTAAGCAAGCTGCGCGCCGTTCCTGAGGCCGCACCCTCCGTCGCCCGGCGCGGCGCTCGTCGGCGAGCTGCGCGCCGTTCGTGAGGCCGCAGCCTCCGTCGCCCGGCGCTTCGCTCGTTGTCGATCTGCGCGCCATTCCTGAGGTCGCAGCCTCCTGTCACCGGGTGCGGCGCTCGTCGGCGAGCTGCGCGCCGTTCCTTCTCGGCGGTTATCTTCGTGGCCCTGTTTGTCCCGTTTGTCGCGCCTCAGCTACTGAGCTTCGTCCAGCACGTATCATAACATGGCTGCGAAGACTTGCCGTGGTTGAAGGTACGTCGTCCAATTACTCAAGTATATGACCGCTGTTCTTCTAATTTCTGAACCAAATGCTATTTTTGTCCGTGTGAGGTCGGTGAGATGCAAGCAACTATGCTTTTGGACAAGAACTGTGCTTTTGGTCTGACTTGATTAAGCTACGCATGTCAATGAACTAATATACATACGCCTTCTTAAATCTATGCTTTTGGACAGCAAGTATGCATTGGTCTCACTTAATTAAGTAGTGCATTCGATCGATATGCACAGACTCCCCATAAATCCAATAATATATTACAAGTTTATAGTGAAGTAGAAAAAAAAACATGAGTCTCTGATAACGATGACAGATTAAGTTGGCTTTTGTTGTTGGAAGAAGACTTGATTTTGACCTGTCATTGTACCAACGGATGGCTACAGTGGGGCATTTGATGCTGGGTGTCTTATCATCATACTAAGGGCCAGTTCTTTTCGGCGATTCTCCCAGAATCGCCCCCCTCTGCAGCTTCTCCTAGAATCGCCACCCCATACTTTTTTTACAATCCTATCTAGTTAAGGTCTAATTAGCTAGGATTGTAAAAAAAATATGGAATGGTGATTCTACGAGAAGCTGGGGAGGGGGGCGATTCTAGTAGAATCGCCCAAAAGAACTGACCCTAATGGGGTGCTGTAGTGAGGCATTCGGAGTTAGGTGTCCTGTCATCGTACCAACGGATGGCTGCAGTGATGCATTTGGAGCTTGGTTCATCGTACCAATGGACGACTGCAGCGAGGCATTCAGAGTTGGGTGTCCTCTCATTGTACCAACAGTTGGTTGCAACGAGACATTTGGAGCTGGGTGTCTTCTCATCGTAACAAGAGACGGCAATAGCGAGGCATCCAGAGCTGAGTTGCATTGTTCTGAATAGGTATACACGTGATTTGTCGGAACTCCCAAATTACCCTGTGAGTAGTAGTACCAAAGGTTAGTGTCCATAAATCTTTAAAATGATAAAACTGAAATCTGAGTGTAGGTAGCTTATACCATTAAGCTATTGTAATGTTGCAATTCAGCTGGCAATCTTTGGTCTTGTCCATACATCGCCATAGGATTTAGGATTGGGTTGTACTGTGGTAGATATGCAGGCATTTGATTCGTAAAAACCTCCGAATGACCCTATAAAACATGGTGTGATAAATCTTGTATAACTTAAGTTTTTATGTCAGATCAAGTGTGAATTTATTTATACCATTGAGCTGCCATGAGGTTGTAGTGCTACAGGATTATCTACTTTCCTTTTCCTCTTTGATTTTGCTTTCTCTAAGCCACCAATAGGTCTACTTGCTCCTTGAATAGTCTTCTCCTTCAACTTGATACCTTTTGGCTTAGCAAGCCCCTTATTTTGTTTTGAACTTGTACATGAGTTAATGTTTCGTTCTGCAAATATATATTTAAATAAAATTCAAGTTTGATAACATTATAAAACTACACACCCATATTAGTGGGTCTACTTGACCCTCGAACAGTCTTCTTTTTAACCTTGTTACCTGTTGGATTGGCAAATCCCTCATTTTGTTCTGAACCTGTAGACGAGTTAATGTTCGGGTCTGTAACTATAAAAGCAAACATAGGTTAGTTTGATGAGATCATAAAACTAAACTTACAGACCTTGTGCCAAGGGAGTTACATATATCTGGATGTCTGTTTGATCCTCGAGCCGTCTTCTCCTTGACCTTCATTCCTTTTGGCTTGGTAGGCCTCTCATTTTGTTCTGAACTTGTAGTCGTGATATTGTTTGAGTCTGCAACTATAAAAGTAAATATAAATTTAAGCTTGATGAGAGCATAAAACTGAATGTACATACCTTGTGAACAAACAGAGTTACCTGTATCTGGATCAGATCTATGTTTTAGACATTTCTCCACCTCTTCTGCTAATTTCTCTGCATAATTAGCAGCCATCAAGTATGACTCTTCAGACTCTGCGGCTCAGCAGCTATTTGGATAAACATTCTGCACAACTCTTTATAGCGTTTTGT